TTAAATAAAAATCATAATGAATAAAAAAAATAATAAAATATAAAATAAATATTTGAAAAATTATTTCCCAAAATAATTTAAAAAAAATAAATAAATTATAAATATAATTTCAATATAAAATAAATATATATAAAATAAATATATTTATAATTCAGATTAATAATAATTATATAAAAATAATAATAAATAAATATTTTAAAAATGATTTCCAAAAATAATTTAAAAAAAAAATAAATAAATTATAAATATAATTTCAATATGAAATATGAACTATTTAAAAGTATGAAATAAATATATTTATAATTCAGATTAAAAAAAATATTAAAAAAAAGAACAATAATATTATAACAAATAATTTAAGTATACAATTTATTTAAAAAATATAAAATAAAAATTTTAATGATTATTTTTAATAAAATTAAGTACAATAAATTTCTTGATTTCAAGTTGAAAATTTGAGCTAAAATTACAAAATAATTGATAAAACACTTTAGTCTATGCCAGCTTTAGCTACAGCTTTGGATCCTGCACTGAACTCAGGTTGCTTGAACTTTAAGGCCAACTGTGTGCGCCGTTAACTTGGCCAACTGTATTGGCCGCCTCCGCATTACCTTTAGCTGCCGCTTGCTGTCCCATTAGAGCAACAAATTAGCTGCAACAGCAGCCCGCCTGCTTCCTCCTCTGTTATTGTTGTTGTTGTTGTTGCGGCAACATCCGCTGGGGCAGGTGGCAGGAGGCAGCTTTGTAATTTACGAGCCAGCAATCGCAGACGACTATCGTAATAGCTGGTAACAGCATTTGTGCATTTTGTTCTGCCATAAATCATATTGGTAATGCAAGTTCTGCAACAACAGTCGAGTCGAGTTGATAGTCGGTCCTTCCCTCCCCTCCCCAACTCTCTCACTCTCTGTAGAAACTACTCTCTCGCTCCCTCACTCGTTGCCATTTCCGATTCCTAGTCTTAACTCGTTTGCCCTTTTCAGCCAGCACTTGGACAACATTGTTGAGCTTGCGTCTGCGACGCAATTTCTTGACTCGCTTTTCCTGGCGTCCCCCTCCTTTGTTGTTCAGCACTTTTGGCTAATTGATTTACAACACTTTTCCAACCTTTCTCAATATCAAAAGTAAGCTATATAGTATACACATATGTGTGTTGTTGTATATAGTATATCTTCATTTTTTTTTTATCAAACTGCCTTGCTCAATGCTTGATTGTGTGACAATCGCTCTAGAGTTGTGGCCCATGTAGCGCTTATCAACACTGTGCATAGCACTATATATATACATATATATATAGACTTATATGTATGTATGCATATGGAGTGGGTTGGCTCCCTGGGGCCACATCGGCTGTTTGCAAAAATAATTTATGGCAAACTGTTGATTGTTGACATGGGGGACCCAGAGCTCAAGTTAAGGCCTCAACATATATATATATATATATATATATATATATATATACATATACATATGTGCGTGTAGAATTTATCATTAGTTTTTTATATATATATGTGTATAGTATTTGATGTTGCTTTCAGCTTCGCGAAGCGAAACCAAAACGAAACGCGACGAGCAAAACAAAAGCCCCCCAAAACACAAACGACAGCTGGGGCTTCGCTTCGCCTGCCCGTTGATGGTTGCTTTTCTAAACACATTGCGTCATTTGCTGTACAGCTCGCTGCCGCCTCAAGACCCGCCTCTGGGCCCCACCCTGCCCCTCCGGGCGTCGAAAGAGACGATCGTAGCACGTTGCTCTGACGCTCGCTTCCTAGAAAAGCGACACAAATTCTACGAATTAGAAATCTATGTACTCGATACTTGCACATGGGACAAGGCATCTGCTACATCGATACTATATAAGGCACATATACTCGATATTTCTATGTGTGTGAAGATATCTGCTCTAGCGATACTATATACAAAGCTAATTGCGACTGCAGCAGCTATAGCTGTGCATTGACTCTGCTTGCCTTCAGATGCTTTTCCAACTAACTGTTGGCTGTCTCGCTCTTGCCTATTTGCACGACTAGCTGTTACCCTGTAGTCAAGCATAATGTGTGTACTTTTTGAAAAATCATACCCTTTATAATTTTTATTAATTATTTACTTACAATAAGTATACTTACTTATACGACTAGCAGTTACCCTGTATATACGAATCTCACTTATACTCTATTTTCTCTCTATATAAATATCCTTTCCATCATCGATTGGTGAACAACTTCTGCGAAGCGTCATAACTAGACTGCTGAGTTGCATGACTTACAGTTACCCTGTAAATCCTAAATTCTATATGAATTTACCTTTTATACTATTTCTAAATTCCTGCTTCAATTTCTTGCTTATTTCGTAATGAACTTGGTCAAAACTGATCATTTTAGCAGCACGACTAGTAGTCACCCTGTACTCTGACATATTAATCTACACACATTTGCATTTAATTAACATAAAAATGTATTACATTTCAGAATTTAAATTAACACCAACTTAAGTTTTACTATAATGCTCGACTCGCAGCTACCCTGTAGTCAAATATCTTCTTCAGTACGATCTCTGTATGAATTTCATTTTGTTCCTATTTTTTATATTATTTATAAACCAGCAGCCACTTTTCAAGGCAGTTATCTTAAAGTGAATAGTAAAAGTGAACGACTAGCAGTTACCCTGTGGACTTTAGTTTCAGAATCTCAATGAGAAATCTTTTATTCTCTTTTATTCTCTATTACACTGCTTCACACTGGAAAGCTGACTGCAGTTCGTTCTCTTGAGAGTTTCCATATTACTTTTTATATAGAAATCAGTTTATAATTGATAGCTCCAATAATTTCTAATGCTCTCCTTTTTCGCTGCATCTCTTCCATTGGAAACTCTTCATTGCGAAGCCTTGAACCAAATACATAAACATTTCTTATCGCCTAACAATTATTTCTAGCTCTTATCAATAGCGCGACAATTAATCACAGACTTTGATATGTGGCGCAAGATACCCTGTAAGTGAGCAGCATTTGGGGTATGCCAAGCATATAAAACTGAACATATATATGCCTATTCCAAGCTATATATTGATTTTTTTAATTTTCTTTGTATTTTTTATTTTTCTCCAACCTTTGCTTTTGCAATTAATAATTTCGAATGTTTTTCAGACGATTCTGCCTGGTTCTTCGTTACACTTGAGAGCATTTCTGATTTATGATCAAAACAAGCAACAATATTCGATGTCATTCACGCCCCGAGCCAAACAAACGAACTCTATTGTGTGGCCTGCCCCACGCCCCAAGCCCCATGCCCCACAGTCCGGCACACAAATTAGGCTTTTGTAGAGGAGCTCGTTCATGACTGCCACACATAATCGTATTACAAATGCGCAGTAAATAGAACTTCATTCGATAAGTAACGCTCGTGTAATAATTAACGAATGAACTAGTTCAAACTAGTTCGAGTAAGAACTGCACAAATGTTTTAATATTATTGTTAAATATAGAGCATTGGCTAAGTTTCAATTAAATACTGAAGTGCGGAACCAGTTCGAACTAGTTCTCTTATTAAACAAAGATTTATTTATAACAGTAAATTTTTAAGGGTTGATCCTGTTCTATTGAAAAAGTTAAAAGTTGATCATGTTCTATTAAAGTTCTATTAATAGAACCCGCCATAAACTGAAATAGAACTAGTTCTTATTATTTTGAACTAGCTCAGCTTCCTTTATAGTCAATTTTTCAGATATACGAAATTGGCTGAGCTTAATAAATAAGTTCCATAATTACTGCGATTGTCGATATAATGAAAAAAAATGAAAAAGAACCAGTTATCTTGCATGAAAACTAGTTCCGAGAATTTTTATATATTTAAATAATAAGTTGTAAAGTAAAAACAAAATTTATAACTAAAATTAAAAAAAAATGATTTTTTTAGTTCGCGAAGTCATCGAAAAGAACTAGTTTGAACTAGTTCCAATTCAAATTTTTTTAAATATTTATAAACTTTAAACAGCCAACTTTTAGTAGTAATTGATTCTATAAATAATAAAAGTTCGCAAAAAATGAAACGGAACTAGTTCCGATTCTTACTAATATTTATGAGTTATTGAAAAATAACAAATTTAAACTCATTTCACACTTAAGTTTCAGAAATAGTTAAAAGAACAATAGTTCAAGCTTGCTGTAATTCAAGATTCTGATAACTACTGTGGGCTATGGAGTATTAGACTAACATTAATTGATAAGTTCCAATAACTAGTTCGAAAAAGTCTTCAATATTCATTTTAATAATCTTATCCTACATGAGGTCACCAAGTTGCATGAACTATATGAACTATAAGTCACTCTTGATATACATATTATACTATATATATCATGTAATTATACTTACCATATTTTTCACGCCAATCCAAGAAACTGTTAACACTCAGATATCATTTTCAAAATGAAATAATTCAACAGTTTTTATTAGTTAACTTTTCTCAATTCAAAATAGGTTTCAGTAACAAAAAGGTAATAGATACTTAACTATATATATATATATATTTATATATATTCATTTTCAACTTTTGTTTTTCTTTTTCTTTTTATGTACAGAGCACTTTAAGTTCGGAAACATGTGTAAGTGTTTATATATATAGTATATATTTATAGCATATGTTTCACAAAACATTTTAATTAAGTTTACAGTTTTTTGTTGCTGATTCAACATGGGCACTTAAAGTATATACAAATCAAACATATGTATATATATGTATATATATAGATATATCGATTCATTAATGCATAAGATAACAACTCTTAATTGACTACAAAATAAAGGCACCTGAGTTCAAAGTGTTATTGCCAAATGTAAATAAAGTAAACAAATAAAAATAAAAATAAAAATAAAAATAAAAATAATAAAAAATTATATATCTTTACATATATATACAGTTTACACAAGAGATATATATATGAATATATTCAGAAAAATAAGGTAAGTTGTATTATTTAATTCATTTTAATTAATGGTATGTTGGCTCTATATGTGTTTATATGTATGTATGTTTGTATGTTTGTTTGTTTGTATTTGCAACTGACTGTTTGATTGACTAATCGCTGATATGCATGTCTAATAGTATTTATGTACATATAACATATATATGTGTTTCATATAAAAGTACTTAAATGGTCTTTGTCCCTGAATGAAATGCGCCTGGCTTATTTATTTATCAAAAAATAAAAACCCGCCCCTAAACTACGCTTAGAATTTGTTGGCTCTTGTTGCTCTTATTTGCTGACTAGTGCGTTTTCTCCCTTTCTCTTTCTTCCTTAACTACAAGTTGCCGGACTTTTGACTGCTCCCACGCCCACTCCCACTCCCACTCTCTCGCTTCCTTTCTGGCTGTCTATTGCATTTTATAGAGCTGTGGCGGCTCCTTGGAGGCCGGCATGCCCTGATCATATTTGCCCAGCTCCGCTTCATACAGCAAATTGTTGATCAAATGCTTCACGACTATCTTCGACTTGGACGTCTTCAGTTTTCTTATGGTGATGGCCACGTACTCACCAAACACCCCATATTCATCCACATGGCTGCTGCCGGCCATGCTGCTGCTGTTGTTGTTCATTTTGAGGGGCGTGGCAGTCAGGCTGGATACGCCGCTGCTGGCTGTTGTGGCCAGATCTAAGGAGCTGTTGTTGTTGTTGCTATTGTTATTGTTGCTGTTGTTGTTGTTGTTGTTGTTGTTGTTGTTAGCCAGAGTTGGCGAGCAGGAGAGATCACGACCACGATCACGTTTTTGTGCCATGTTATTGGAATGTTGTTGTTGTTGTTGCTGCTGATGTTGTAGCTGCTGCGGTTGTGTATGCCCATTGCCATTGTGGCTGCTATGGCTGAGATTGTGGCTAAAGTGTTGCTGCAGCGTATGAAATGCGATCTGATTGTGTGGATGTTGCTGTTGCTGCTGCTGCTGATGTTGATGCTGTTGCTGTAGCGCTGTCGTCTGCCCTGTCGACTTGATGGGCGTCAGAGTTAGTGCCCCAACCACGCCCCCAACAATGCCAACGCCCACGCCAGCGCTGACATCACAGCCATCGAGCTCATCCATTTGCGCTTTACGCTTGCGCGGATTATATGTCAGATCCGTGGGTTTGCAGTAGCTCGCTGAGAGGGAGAGCGGCGTGCTCGTCTGCCTCTCGAGCATACCCAGCTCCGGTTCGTGCTCGATCTGTGAGCGAAGGAATGAAGAAGAAGAAAAGGAGGTGAAGAGAAGAAAAGAAATTGAACAATAATTGATAAGCTCTTCAGTTGCAGAGCCAAGAGATTAGAGGGAAAGATAAGTTCAAAATATTTTTACATATTCTTTACTGTGTATTGATTGCCCTCTAGGGTGTATAAATACTATCTAGCAATCTATATGTCTATAATGGTATAGAAAAATATGCATTTAAAGAGAATAGACTATACATTCAATATACCCTAATGCTACTGCTTGTACAGGATAATTGTGCCGAAAATAACACTGCCCCCACTCCGTACAACATACCCCATCGAATCACCTTATCGGGAATATTCGAATTGCGATAATAATTAATAATTTCTTGCCATTCTCTATGCAATAATATAGCCCAGTGCAACTCTGCCTATGCAGGGTATTGGCAAACCATTCTTTAAGTCAATTGATATGCAATTAAAGATCAAAGCTCAAGCACTCATACTTACAATTTCTGTTTTCACATCTTCGGCGCTGATATTGCAATAGCTCTCGCCGTCCAAATCGGAAGAGGAACGTGTCTGCGAAAGAGAGAAAGAGGGATAGGGAGAACGTTAGCAAATCGTTAAGAATTGGCAAAAGTAACACATATGAAGAGAACTAACTACAACATTAATTATGACAGTGTAAGGAATATGTCAGACAAATAATAATAATAACAGCAACAACAGCAACAACTAAATGATAATACACAAAGGCGGAGCAACAAAAAACATAAAGCAAAGAGAAAAACAAATTAGAATAGTAATAAAAAATAAATAAATAAATGTGAGCAGCATTCACACACACAGACAGAAAGTCTTTGCATACAGATGGCAGCGCGAGAGCCAGCGGCGATTAAATTAGTTTCGTTTGTCGGGCCGGGGTTTGCGAGGCGGCGAATTCAACATTGAAGTGGACCAACGAGTGGCCAGACAAGCAGACGAATAGACAGATGAAGCGAACGAATGAAAAAAGAAAACAAAAACAAACGCAAAACGCAGCGCAGCAACTTGCTATATTGAAGCTAATGCTACTGCTGCTGCTGCTGGTTGCTTGACGCTACTTAGGCGGGTCCATTGCCAGTGCAGCGGTTGTGGGTGGGCGGGGTGTTGCTCAGCTGTTGAGGGGCAGGGTCGGCGTAAAACGTGTAGCGGCCGATTTCTACGGCTGATGCAACACACATATGGCTATGGCTATGGCTAACGTAGCAGCAGCGGCGGCGGCGGCAGCAGTGAAAATCAAAGCCAGTTGACACACACAAACAGTCAGGACACACACACACTTGTACAACACACGTCGCTTATCAAGCGCAAGCGACGCAATAGCAGTGCCAGCACAGTGACAAACAATGCTTAATTATTGCAATAGGGTCTGACGAGATAAATTGATTAATCAATAATATCGTTAGCATTGCGAATTCATTTAATTCAACAACGATTACTTTTACAATAGCAGCGCTGATTGTCGGTGCAGTGTTGCCACCTAATTAATATTTTTGAAGTGTGCCATTGCGAATTATGGCACAAGTGCAAGACAAATTAATAAATTAAAGGAGTGCAAAGAAACGGTGTAAGCACAAGTACAGACATTTCATGTCTTACTAAAAAGCTCGAGCCACTGTGCACCACAGTTGTAGCTGTTGCTGACGAACCACTAGACACAGAGCCAGCAGCGACGGCGCGTGTACTGCGCTGCTTCTGCTGCTGCCTCAAAACAAGTCAAACCACTCACACACACAAGCAAAGCACAAACGCACACACTCACTCACCATCATATACTTTTACGCTCATTCTCACTCGTATGAAAAGCAAAAGCTTCACCGGAACGGAACGTCAACAACAAACAAGAATAATACACTTAGTTATGTACGTAGATTAATACCCTACCTCATCAAAATATTACAAAATTTTCAAGAACAAAATTTTAAATATGAAATATGAATAATTATTATTATAATTATGTACACATATATTTGCATATACACATATATATGCATATGTGCAGCAATGCAAGCGTGTTTGTTACACAAAAATGTGGTGAATGACATAACGAATATACTTCTACAACTTTTTAGTGTATAGAATATAAGAAATGAGAAATAATATGCACAACAAAGTAAAATCAATAAAAAATAAGCAATAGGCAATAGGCAATAGGAGCTTACCACAGCAGCTGAGATGGCTGCAGCGGCCGCTGCTGATGATGCTGTTGCGTCGCTGCCGCTGCCATTGCCCGCACAGCCATTGGAATTGCCATCCGAAGCCGCTGCATCGTCATCCATATTGTGTTCCCGTTCCCTGACGTTGGCCGCGGCTGCTGCCGCAGCCACCGCAGCCACTGCGGCAGCGACGCGAGCAGCGAAGTCTTCGTGCTGCTCAACCTGTTGCTTGCCAGCAGCAGCTGTCAGCTGTTCCAAATCTAGGCTATGCATCAGCGTCAGTTTATCAGCTGCTTCCGAGTCCAGCAGCGCTGCCGCCGCCGCCGGCTCTACGTCACCGTCAACGACGGCATCCATACCAGAGGTGTCGGCGTCCCGTTCCCCATCCAATATGAATCGAATAGCCTCATATGCAAACCACATGGGCTGATAGTGAACGCCTCGGCTGCGGCCGTTGATCACCTTGCCATGCTCACGATGGAATGAGGAGCGGAGCGATTTGATTTTTGAGCGAATTGAGCGTATTTCTGTTCCATATTTCTGGCTGAGCAGCTTGAGTGCCTCGTATTTTGTCTGTTTGATGTGGTAGCCTTTGGTATTAGGATCCCAGAGCACGCGCTGCCGTCGATAATCCTCGATGAAGCCCAATATCGTGGCGCGCGACCATTCAATGCGGTCCGCAGGCGATGCCTGCGCCGACGCGGACGGCGACGGCGACGGCGGCAGCGCTGCGGCGTCAGCAGCAATCAAAGCGATAGCATTGGAGTTGGCGTCAAGTTTGTACTGCGCTGCGCTGGCGCCACTGCTGGACATCGTGCGGAGAAAGTTAACTGTTAAAGGAGGCAGTGGTGATGCTGCTTGCTGTTGCTGTTGTGGTGCAGTGGGTGGTTTGTTGGATGGTGCTGGTTCGGTTCGGTTCGGTTGGGTTGGATGGATGCGCGCGCGCGCAAGCGGCTGCCGGAGAGAGACAGTGTGAGTGAGAGAGAGAGAGGAAGGTAGCAAAGAAGGTAAACGCAACGCAACGCAAAACGCAACGCGACGTAAAAAATAAGCGTCCACAACACGTTGCTTTTGACTTTCGACTGAGGCGGCGGCGGCCGCGGCTAGCGGTTGTGTGGCAGAGGAAGCGTAGCAGCAGCAGCAGCAGCAGCAGAAGCAGTAACGGCAGCGGCAAGTGTGGCGGCGGCGGCGGCCAAACGGCAGCTCAGCTGCACTTTGTGCGAGAGAGCGCGCGAGTGTGCGAAGCACAGTGGTACACAACTAAATCGCAATTAACCAAAATGCAAATAACTTAAATAGAATATTTGAATCAGATTAATTAATACAAAATAAAACTTTTTCAATAAACCAGATAATGTCAATATATATATATATTATGTATTTATATACATATATATAGAAATATATATATTAATAAATTCTTTGCAAGTAAATTTTCTAATTTCCTATTTATGTAAACTGAAATGAAGGTAAAGGAAAAGAAAAAGTGTGCTTTGCAAAAATATAAAATCAATTTGTATGTAAAATTTCTGTTTTAGCTTGTATTGATAGAACAACAGTTATATCATAACGTTATTAAGCACTACAATTTCGATAATTGTATATTAAATAGCAAATGTATAATGAATCAAATGAATCAAAGTATATGGTTTACCACGTGGAATTAGCTTTTGCTCGCACAAGCTTTCTGCACCACTGTGCGTCGCTGTTTCGTCCAAAATCAACGCAAAGGTGTGCGCGACTCTGTGTTTGCTGTTTGTATTGGTGTGTGCACACGTACGGACTAGCATGTGCGCAAGTATGTACGTGTGTGTATGTGTGCTGGTTGCAGCGGCACGCGGGGGCTTTTTTTCGCTCACTCAACGGCTCGACGTAGCTGCTGCTGCTGCTGCTGTAGATGTTGTTGTTGCGGCTGCTCTGCCCGGAGACCTGTTGGTTGCTCGCTTGATAATGCGACGCTTTGTTGTTATTGTTATTGCTATTGTTGTTGCTGCTGCTGACTGTTTTGGGTTTTCTATTTGTTGCTGCTATCAGCTGTTTTATTGCATGTTGTTGTTGCCGCAATACATACGTGCGACGTGACGTTGCTGGTGCTGCTGCTGCTGGTGTTGCCACTCGACGTTGACGTTACGATCCCCCGACACGTTCGTTGTTGTTTTCGCCGCTTCGTCGTTCGTCGTCGGTCGTTCGCTGTTGAAATCACGATTTGTACTAATTTCACATATTTAAACTGTGTGTGGCATGCGCGCTGCTCCAAACGGGCCAGTTGCTGTTGTTGTTGTTGTTGTTACTGTTGCTGCTGCTGTTATTGTTGCTGCTGCTGCTGCTGTTGGCCGTAAGTTTGTCACTTGGTTTTGTGCTCGCCCCACGCCCCCGCCCACCGCTACAAACACCTTCCATACCCGTTGTTGCTGTGGTTTTAGCACTTTTAGCACAGATCATTACCGCTATATCATAAGCTTTACCCAAAGCTTAGAATGCGGCGAATCTGTCTGGCATACTTTTTATGCGCCTGCCAACTTCGCCGTACCTTGTGTCAAAGCTCGTTGAAGTTCAAACCAAATTTGTAATCAGTTTTAATTTCGAAAACTTTTGTTTTTACGCCTATTTGTTTTCCAATCTCAGGACTATCTGCAAATCAAACTTGTTATCTGCGTGAGATAGTGTATATGAATTTCGGTGCCTTTATCGTAATTTTCATTTCTCGTTTCTGTTCATATTCGCCCGTGCGGCGATCGCTGCTGCTGCTGCCTGCTGCTGTTGTCGCTACCGTCAACGGCAACACGTTGCACAGTGGGGCCCGCTTCTGCGCATGTGACGAAGGCTGCCAAAAAAATAGCTGACTAGCAAAGTGGCGGCCATGACGCTGGATAGGCTAGTGGCGTGTGCTCGTTAAAATGTTGGCTACAACATACATTGTATATTTATATATATAGCTACGTATGCATATATGTATGTGTGAGTGTAGTGTTTTTTAAGAACATATATTACATATGTATGAATGGTGACAAAGTTTAAGATTTAATATGAATAAATAAAAATATCTCAATAATACTCCAAAATACTCCACCCTTGTTCCACTGTGCAACGGGCAGCTACAGCTGTAAATTTTGTTGCCGTCGTTGAGAAGTTGTTATCGTTGCCGCCGCCGCAGTTGGACGAAGCAGAATAACAAAAACAAAATTCGCAAAAAGCTTCACAACGCGGTAACAAATTTTGCGAGTCAGCAGAATGAAAAAGAAACAAAAATAAAGAAAAGAATCAGAAAAAAAGGAATTGCATTTCACGGCAAATTTGGTTGTTTTTGTTAATCAAGGGGCTGGCTGGTTGGTCGTTAGCTTAGTCGTCAATTGACAGGGACAAGGGAGCTGGTAAAAATCGGCAGCGTCGCCGTTGCTGGCGCACACGTAGGCAGCTTTGTATTTTTGCATTTTGAGTTGACAACTTTGTAGCTCGCCCGCTCCGATCGATGAACGACATTTAATAGCGCTCCTTCTCTCTCCAACATGGGATTTCGCTCTCTCTTTCTACCCTTCCTATTCAAGTCCTCACACGTGCAGGTTTTAATTTCGCCGAATTTTGTCGTCGTAAGGCAAATTCATACATACACTCAAAAGCATGCACTAACAGAGTTAGAGCTTGTGCATTTCGCAATGCATTTGTACGCTCTCTCCCGGTCTCGCTCTCTCTCTCGGTCTCGCTCTCTCACTCTCTCTCTGTGTTTGGCATTTTTTTTCATGTCACCTCTAATACTCACAGCATTTTAACATTGCGGAAGCTTTCGTGACTGCTTCTGCTTCTTACTTTAACTGCTCATTATCAAGCGCCGCTGTTGCTGTCGCTGTCTCTGCCTCTGCCTCAGTCACTGCTATCGTGGACTGTGGCAGCGACATGTTTGCCGCACCTACGATAACGGCATTAACTTGACTTGACTTAACAAACCCGATCCCCTTCCTGTGCCCTAATGAAATACCGCATAGCATCAACTTGAACAGCCGCTCGTTCAGTGAAAGCAACGAAAATGCTCCGACTGCAACGCGGAGTGCGCCAGCAAAAATTAAATCTGAAATTGGCTCTGACTGCGCGTCAGTTGCTACCGCTACCGCTACCTTCGTTGTCATCGCTGCCAGCGTTGGCGTCGCTGTCAACGTAGGCAACGCGACGCAACGCTTCTCGTCGTGGCGCAAAGCTTTGCATTCAATTTTCGTTTCAAGTTGACAAATTGACGTTCAAAGTTGTTTGCGCAGCATTTCAGTTACAGTTTCAGTTTAGCTGCCTGCCTTTTCCGCTTCCCTCATTCCCCTCGATTCTCCTGCCCGATGCCATTACCGTTGCAATCGCACATACACACACATATCCATATCGTTGCTTTTGTCAGTTATGGTTCCTTATTATTTTTATGATTTTTCGCAATCTTTTTACGTCCTTTGGCTGCATTAAAATGTAAGTAATGCGTCTGTGCGTGAGTGTATATGTGTATGTTTATGCGTGTGTGTGATTCGTGCGTATTTAAATCGAATACAATGAGGGACAAATAATTGTGGATGATGTAAACAAAGTAAAAATATTCTAAAATAGTACTTTTGAGTAATATTCGTATCACAATTTAAAGGATATTTATTTTTTCTATTACATAATTATAAATAATATTAGTATGTCTATTATTAGTTATATTAATTATTAATTGTTTATATTCATATATAAATTCACAAACGAATGCGTTCTGATGTGAGGCACTGTACATAATAGAATGAGTTGCTGTGGTTCCTGTTGTTGCTGTTGCTGTTATTGCTTGTTGTCATTGCCAACTAAATTGCATTGAGCTGTCACATTAGAGAAGCAACTCGATATGCCAGTCGCTTGCATCTCTCACTCTCTCTCTCTCTCTTGCCCCTCACGTCTCATTTTGCTTGCTCTATTCTTGCCTGACACTTTATACTTAGCTGAACAGTTTTTATCAATCAACTTTGGAGGTGTTGTTGTCGCCGCTATTGTCGTGGTCGCTCTACTTCTTATTCTTCTTCATGTTGTTGTTTTTGCTATTTGTTGTTGCGTGCACTTTAGTAGAAATTGCTGTTGACGTTGACTATGCAATACATATTTTTATTTTTATTCAATTTCAACGTCACTTGAACGTGGATAACGACGTCGTCGTCGTCGTCGTAGCCGCCATCGTCGCTGTCGTCGATGCCTCTGTCATCATCATCATCATCATCATCAAGAACGTCGTTTCGCCTGCTGTCTGCCTGCTGCTGGTTGTGTTTGTTTTTGTTTATTTCAATTATGCAGCGTCTATCGTCTATCGTTTATCGTTTATCGCGCCCAGCCAATTCAATTGGATAAGCCACGCAGCTGTTTAAAGTGCACTTCCTTATGGCCCGCATGCCCCTCTGTGCCAACTGGAGTGGGCAACAATTCTCCAATTGGAATTGCAATTGCAATTCGTACAGCCGCTTGAGTGAACGTTTATTTATTTACTTATTTAGTTTGTGCAACTGATGCGTATCTCTGCTGCAGTTGCATTTCGCACTCTGCTACTGCTACTGCTCTGCTCTAACGGGAAATCGCACTCGACGGAGTGCGCTCAAAGGAAGTGCATTCGAATGGCTGCACATCTGATAAACATGATACCCATAGACAGCTAACAGCTCTAGCCTCTGCCTCTGCCTCTGCCTCTGCCTCTGCCACTGCCACTGCCTATGCCCCTACGTCCGATACCGATATCGATATCCATCGAAGCCACTTGAGCTTTTCTCTAATTAGCTTTTTGCACTGATTTCGTGTTCTGAAGGTTGCCCTCTCAATGCAAAAACATTCACGATTTGCCGTATCCGCTTCAATTGCATTTGCCGCTAACTAACTTTAAATTGGCAAATTTAACATGCAGATGCAGTTATATGTTATATATGTATATATATATTTTCCTGAAGGTATTTGTAAAAACTTAACGAACTCAGATATTAAATTGTTTAGTATAACTTTTAGTATAGTATAGCCGCTAGTTGACTTGACCTGAGAATACAAGCTAGTATAAATCCACATGTTAATTCTAATTAAGTCACAGGTAAAATTTATATTACTAACAAAGTATAAATATAAATAATATTTATTTATAAAAAATTGTTTACTTTTAGAAGTTAATAAATATTTTAAGTTGGCTAATTTTATATCTACAAGCATGTTATTATCCTCATGTTAATTATAATAAAGTTCAAGATTAAGTTTGAATTCAAATGCAATTTTTTTGGAAATATAGATAAGATAAACATTTTTACAAGAAAAATTGAATACGACTTTGAAAAAGATCTTAACAGCTACCTAATTTACCAGGAAGATCTGCATATTATGTTTACTTTTTCATAAAATTAATAAGAATCAAGGAACTTTAATGAGACAGAAATACAAATTTAGATACACATAATTTTCTGTTTAAATATATTGCTTAAAGAGTTAAGGAACTGGTTAAATTTAACAAGAAAGTTTAAGGACTTCACCAGAAATATAGCAAATAAAAATCTTTTCTCTAATGGACATTATAACAGAAAGAGACTTGATTGAACGGAAAGATGAAAAGTCGTTCAGCGGAAAGCCTGGATAATCCAGAATTTATATCGACTCAATTTAATCTGTAGTTAATTGGGATTAAGGTTTTAAGTTTGTAATTAAATCTCTTTTTAATGTGGAGCAAAACCTCAGGGCCATAAATTTGGAAGTTATCTGAAACCTTTTGCTCGTCGAATTTAACAGCAATTGATAGACATGGGAAACATGAAAGAGTCTAGGCAGAGGGTAGGGGCTAGGATCACGGCTCTAGGGGTAGAACACGCCCGATTAAGACATTTTGCGGTCATCTTCATGTGCTGCGTGCATATAATTACATTCGAAGGCTTTTCGGGTGGCTCATTCATCACGCAGGCAACCAAAAAGTATCTCACAGATTGTTAGCACTTGGGCTCGACAGTTGTTGTGGGCGTGGGCGTGGGCGTGGACAAGACAAGAGTTATTTATGTTGTATAGCCAGCTACAACTATTAAAAGTAACTACTTAGCAAACACTGAAGCCGACCAACCGAGCCCAACGAACCAAGGAGCCAAGGAGCCAACGAGCTGCCCAATCCGAAAGTTTTTTCGGCAAAGTGCCATTTAGTTAAACATTTTGACACATGATAAATGAGTTGTATAAGCCCAGAAACCCACCATTAGGTCAGACATATGTCGAGTCCTTGCGGCCCCCAGTGAGCCCACCGTCCACTACCCTCGAGCCTTGGTCAGAGATCTGCTATTGCTGGCAATTAAAGTGGCATGAACGACGCTTCGGTAACCCATAAATAGTATCTATAAAGCAAGCACTAACATGTAAATTCGGCGAGTGCAGAGCAGGTCCTTCCGAAGGACTTCCGCACAGCAGCCAAGCGAGGAGAACTCATTAAATAGAAAGCATTTAATGCGCATCTAGATACAGCTGTACATAGTTATGTATAACA